GAGTTAAATGTTAAAATATTAAAATATTAATTTTTTCAGGAAAATTAATCCGAGATTTCTGTCTAAATATAAGCTTCAATTTTTTATTGGCTCTAAAATTTTTATATTTATAAATTGACATATTTACGAAAAATATAAAAGAAAAAAAAGTTTATGCATTGGCATTATTGCTCTGGTGCGATCAAAAAATATATATCTTTATATAAATGTGTGTAATATAGAATTTATGAAAAGTTGTACTGATTGTAAATTACAATTCACATTTATCCAGATACACTCCTTCAATTCTCCCCCAACGCACAGGCATTCAAGCTTTAATTTTCCTGGTCAAATTTTACTACCTTTAGATCTTAATTATAAGACTTTGTTTGTAGTCTTGTAATCAGAACTAGAGGTAGTAACAAAAAAATCCGTTTTATAATAAAATATTATTTTAATTTTAGCCTGTATATTTATGTTTTAATGTTTTATTGGGCATAAATTTGTATACTTATAAATAGATTATATATGGTGAAATTAAAAATATATAAATAAATATAACTGTACTAGATTAACTCGCCAATATATGTATATATGTACAAATATATATATATATATATATTCTAATCACATGATCATAATGAGATTAAAATATCAGTTTTTCTTGATTTCAGATCTAAACGTTGGATGAAACAGCACTATTCATCAAATCTCCAATAAAAAATTATAGATATCATCATCATTATATAATATACCATCAAGGAATGGGTTTAGGTTCAATAATTCTTATGTTCGTGAAAAGCCCTACTTGATCTATATAAGAAGTACTCTCTACGATAGTGTGAATCGAATTTAAACAAGAAAATAGAAGAAAGATCGATAACCATCATTGGGTGAGTTATTAAATATATAAAGATGTCTTCGGTTGGTCATACATTATAATCCACATCGTGGATCTCATTCAATCAAACAAAGTCTCGTCACATTATTTAATTTGCTAATTCGTACACGACGACATGATAAGAAGCGCATGGTCAACATCCACAAAAGCGCATATATACAAATGTGTGTGTCTTTGCTTCATTTCACACACCCACTTGCTAATTGCAACTTAGCTTCTTTTTCTCTCTTTAATTTTCATGATAATGATTATAATTTATTACATTTAGTTTTTAATATAAGAGTTAGTTCACTAATTTTAACAAAATAAAAAAATTTGTTAAGTTTGTTATTTATAATAAATAGGTGTGATCTTCTCTAAAATATTATTGCTAATAATAAATATTAGCTAAAACTAAAAAAAATTAATAAATACGAGAAACAAAATGATTAGGATATTATATTTACAACTAAATAGAATGTCAAATCAACTCTTATATTAAAGAGGGATAATAGTATTTGATTAGGGCCTAGTCATGTCTGAGAAATAAATCACATTGCTCATTATTTATAAAAAATAAAACTAATATACTTTTTTGTCCTAAGTAAAAGCGTTGGCCTTGCTCGTTAGTTCTTAATACAAAATTCCTATCACGAATTTTAATGAAATATTTATTATTCTGTTTTTTTTTAAATGCCCCATGTCTATCTCATTCTTAGTTAATTAGTTTACATAATGATTTTAATTTGATTATGGATAAATTTTTGACATTTAATTAGCTCCAATCAGTGTTCTTGAAATTAAAGTGGTTGACAGGGTTTTAATTATAAAAAGAACCAAAGTGAGTTTTTTTTTTTTTTAATTGCTTTTGTCGCTATCATCGTAAAAGCAAAACAAGTCTTTAGGTAAAGTAGGTCCATCATCCCTTTAATTTTCTAAGCAACTACTTTTTCTTTCGTACTCTCATAATGTGGATTTTCTCCAATGCGTAATTACTCAAAGATCCATTAATAAGATGACAAAGAAAGTAATAATTTAAATGACATGTGGGGTTTCCAACTTAACTCCCGTAGAAGTAATTTAATTTTTTTAAAGTAGAGAAATAAAGAAAGAAAATAAGTGAATGGAAAATATCTCGTTATCAGTACTAAAACAATAAAACACGTTCAGAAAATCTACAGTGTAAGGGAATTATTTACCACGACCATCTCAGCCTCAAAAAAAAAGGAAAAGAAAAGAAAGAAAGATAATAATGAACTATATTTTTATATCTGTGTGAAGTGAGCCTTGTCGAAGTAAAATCTGTGTCAGTCTTCCTATATCTCTTTATTTCACACCGTATTTCAAGAAATAAAAACCATTTTCTGCTTTGTTTTTTTTTTTTTTTTTTAGGGGTGATACATTTATGTTTTATATATTTCATTGACCTGCTTAAGCAAAAAGTGCCGAATATTAAAGTCTGGCCTCTCATCAATTATTCGATAGTTAAAAATGGGAAAATTGTCCCTTTATTTTAAATTGAATTTTCTGGGATATGATTCTGGGATGTGGAAGGAAGATAATAATGGCATTTTTTTTAGCAAAATATAATAATGGGATTTGAATGTTGGTTTTCATTAAATTATTTAATTACATTGGTATCTTAATCTTTCATATTCTTTATATCTTTATAATTTATAGTGGATTTCGATTATTTCCGTGTGATTTCGAAATATTTTAGTATCCTGCAAAATATTTCAAACGAAATTTGCTTTTGATTCCGTAATTCCATTGCCATTTATATATATATATATATATATATATATATATATATATATAAAGTAAGTGATGCAGCCCAGATTCACCCAATACACCCACATAGTATGTCTCCAACTAACAGTTAAATGTCCCACAAAGTTGTCATTATCTAGGTTACATCGCATAGAATGTCTTAAATTTTATATTCTTTACAGTTTTAACATTACTATTAATAACAAAACAAAACATTACTATTAAAATTCGGAAATCAAATCACTATTACAGAAAATATCATAAGGATTGGTTTTTGCTTTATTTAATGGTTATTATAACCATCAATATACAAGCGTTATTTTACTTCTGAGTTTATATTTGTCATTTTTTCATATACTTTTTAAAATATTTATACAACAAAAGAGAAATACAATTACAAAGATCAAAAATTCATATATTATACATTCAACCACATAAAAAAAAATCTAACAACAGTAAATTAATTCATATATTATACTTTCAACCATATTGGTTTATCCTCTACTGTATAAAGTTACCATAATACACATTCCATTGACCTTCCTTGCTTTTCACTACTTTGCAAATTGCAAAAATATCTTGTTCAATTCCATTCCCCAAAAAAAAAAGAAAAAGGAATGACCTCGGAGAAAATTATGCAGAACAAATCAAAATCATCAAATTTAATATGTGAAGTGGATAATAATGGCAGAGAATCATATATTTAAATTTAAAGGGAATCATGATCAAGTTAAAAAAAATTTCAGTTATGAATGAAATCAAAATTAGTCACAGGGGATCTTATCCCCTTTTTTTCCCCCAAATCTAGTATATTCATTGAACATGCCAAACAAAATCACCTTTTCTTGTTCATTGAGCTCATGTGAGCATACAATGGCAATAATTAAAGACAGGACCTTGAAACTTTTACAGCTACATTTGAATAATGACCTTGTTAGTTACTGTAATCCTTTACAGCTCACCCAAATCACTATTATATCTGCTTATAGAATAAGCAAGTTTGTTATAAAAATTGTGATTGATTAGTCTTTTCAATCTCATATATATGCAGCCTTCCTCGCTGTAAACTCCTTATCATCATTTAATGTAATGTCAACAGTAATAAATAAAAGATCTTTTGAGAAAATAACAATTATAATGCCACTTCAGAATCTTAATATAGAAACTAGATAACTAATTTGTTTAGATTTAAAAAATTAGTTAAATTAATTATTCATTAACCATGTAGGTTGGTTTTTCTAAAATACCCTCTTTAATTATTTACATTGAAAACTACTCCTTAATGTAAACCTACTAATTAACTTAAATTACAATGGTAATTATTGGGTAGATTTGTTTGGGTTAACTTATGATGAGGTGCCAGACAACATTTTTTTAAGCCTATAAGCCTCTCCAAATGTTTTAATTAAACTTATGTTATTCATTTAGTTTGCATCTTGGATTAATTTTGCCTAATAAGACTAGCAGTGACTAATCCTCTCATCATGAGGCCTTTACTTAAAAATAAACAACTGGCCACGGAATGCTTTCCATGCCTAAAGGTGGGATTCAAACCTCACCACTTGGTTAAAGGACTAAGAGAGAGGTAAGCACTAGGCCACACCCATATAGTTAAAATGGGTTAAATTGATTAGGTGACCAAGGGATTAAGCTTCTTTCTTTTTTCTATTGATAACGTATCCAAAAATATGTAGAATAGACCAATCTTATATACACCTACGTAATGAGAACCGGTTCATTTCAAGAAATCTAAAATCCATACATAATACTCCTCCGGTCCTTAATACAAGACCCATTTAACTAATTTGATTAGATTAAGGAAGTTAGGTAAGTTAGTTAATTATAAAAAATGTGACACATTTTTTCCAAAACACCATAATCATCTTTTTTAATACCATATCTCCCTCTTTTACTTGATTATGGTTGAGGGAGTATTCATAGGGATAATTTAGAGAAAATTGATAAATATGAGAAATGAGTCTTATATTTAAGATCAAAACTAACTTAACAATTAGGTCTTATATTAAGGACCGGAGAATTACTTTATTTGAAACGAAGATTTCCATTAAAAAATTATGTTTTTTCAAATGTTGGTTATCACTTTTTAACTTTAAAAAATTGAAAATTACAATATTCCAATCCTAGAAACATGCCTGGTTACGTTAAAGGTGATAAAATAAAAGCAAAAGCAAAAAACAAAAATTTGGGAAAAGAGAACTTAAAACGTATGATTTGTATTAAGACATTAAAAAGAAATATCCTTTCCACTGAAATTCCTTGTACTTTCGTTTCCCTTGTGAAGAAGAAACAAAACAGATTTGTACAATGGCGGCTTTCATTCGGCAACATCACTTGGCTCTCTGTCCCAATCTCCCAACAAACTCTAGATATACAATTAAACAGATATGTACACACCCAGACACAGCCTTCTCTTACAAGCAAAAAAAAGCTTAACAAAGCATCTTAACTTCCCGTGAGATCCTGAAACATGACAAGTGAATTTTTTTTTTAAAAAAAAGTCCAACCTAGATCCTCTAAAGAATGGCCTCAGAGATAACAGTGAGACCATTGTGACATGTGGGTCCCGTGCAGGTAATAGAGAAAGTTCAAAGCCTTCAAAAATCTCGTTTCACTTGCCATGAATTTATCAGATAACCTTATCATCAAAACCTCAAACACAGCAAAATTCCCAGAATCTACAGGGTCACACGAGGAATCTGAGTGTATGTTCTTTCTTCTTTGTTACACTTTGCTTTGATCTCTTCTGCACATCTTAGAGTTCTTTCAATGTGGTAGCCTCCTCCAATGCTTACTTCTCTCTCCAAATGACAGCAATAACTCTCAAACACACTCACATTTACATGCAACTTGAAACCCATTAAGAATAGAAATTCGAGCTCCAAGTTGTTCAATTCTTTCGTTGTCAACCCCCCAACCCTTGCAAAGTATGAATTTCTGTAATTCCTGTCATATCAAAGAATGAATTTGTTCCTTGTTAGTCCATTTTGCCCTGTTTCAACTCATAAGTCACATAAACATCATCCACCAATATCTTGGTGACCTAACATACAAGCACGGATTGGGACTGAAAGGTATGGACTTTGTCTCATATTAAGAAACCCCTTACCAAATATTTAGCCAGAACAAACTTTTGTTGTAATATTTTTTGAGTGTGTCAAAGAAAGGATCCTACATTAATTGGGAATATGGGAAGATAAAAACAAACTGAGTATTAATTGTGAACAGATTTTCCTATTCTTTACCTTCTCAGATTGATGGAAATTAACAAAGGTTCTTCTATTTTTTTTTTTTTTTTAAGATATCTCACAGTTAAGTCCCCATAATTGAAAAATACAGACACTGTAGTTCTGAATTCAATTTTCCCCATATATCAGACACAAATAGCTAATGACTTACTCAAAACTCAATGTCTATGTCAGAAAACAATAAAATTGATCACACGAACTCAGAAAAGTAGCTTAACCCAGCAAAGAGGACGAAATGTTTATGCACATAAGGTGTATGCGAAAATTCCGAAGAGGAAAAAGGTTGAATGGGAGAAGAAAGGAGAGGAAAACTTACATGTCTTCGACATACTTAGAAGCGATCATGATAGTTGTGATGAGAAGCCTGTGTACATTTCTGGCATTGATTCGAAACCCAGGATTGTTGTGGCAGAAGCGATCGATATAGACGTAAGCGACGACATATACGGATGGGCCAGCACGAGTGTAGCGAAAGATTCTCTCGAGGTAAGATTGAATGGTCATGTCAGGGATCTCTCTGCAATCGAAGATATCGGTGGTGGAAGCTCTGGACAAAGCCCAGGAACATTTCTTGACGATTCTCTGAGTTCGGGCCATGCTCCTCTCGATCAGGGAAGCTAAGACGTTTATGACTAACGGGGTGCTGGAATCTTGCTGGTATGTGTGGGAATACAAATCAGAGCGAAGCTTTCTTGGGGAAATTATCAAAGAGGAAGAAGACGACGCAGCCATGGATGGAAGGAGGAGGAAGTTGGGAAAAGTATTGTTGGGGGGGCTTTGGCAGTGTTGAAGGACTTTGGGGACGGGATTATATATATATAAGCGGGCGACCCCTGAACATAGTAGACACGCACAGAGGCACTTTGGGGAGTGAGGGGCTGAAAAAATTCTTACTTTGGTCAAAGGGAAAAGGAAAGTAGGAGGTATTATTATGTTTTAATTTCATTTTATTTTACTCATAAATTATGAGTTCCTTTTTTCTATATACAATAAATTATGAGTTCTAAAGACACAAGTTGCCCTGATAAATTCTTTAAACTATTTTTTCCTAAATTATATGCACAATTGGGGGAGGAATTGCATAAGACATTCACTTCCAATAATTTTATTTGGTTTTATGTGTTTTTCTCATATTTTTTTATATGAATAAAATTTTATACATATATATCTATGTATTTTACAAAATTTTCAAGAAATTGTATTATTTATAAATATCAAATAATAATAGTATTTGAGATTTCTTATTCAAAGGAGACTTCTTTTCCCAATTTTTCCTTAAATAAAACTCCACTAGAAAGGGCATTCTTCAACTGAGAATACCTAACTTGGCTCTAATCTAAATTGGTTGATAATATTGAATTAGCATGAAATATAAGATATATATATGTTGGCAAAAAAATATAAGATATATATATTTCTAGTTTTCTTTTTCTTTCAAAAAAAAAAGAATGTAATAAGGACAAAACAAAAGGAAGGAAGGTGGAAGGATGAAGTTAAAATAAAAGGAATAATCAATTGAAGATACGAAGGAGTGAGAATAATAATGGCAGGCACAAGCTGTCCAGATTTATTTGTATAATACAAATAAATACAAATGGCTTTCTTGTTGCTTCCATGAAATGTTGGCCTCGCCGACAGTGGCGAGTGAAGAGCAGGGAGGGGTAAGACTGTAATTTCAATCCAACAAAATTAAAATGGTCCCACCATAATTAGACCCTTGCCGCCCTCATTTATTAATAAATACCCTCCCTTACAAGGATTTGGATTCAGTTTCTTTACTCCTTCTTCCCTCCATATTTCTTTGATTTGATCTGGCCTGGCACTTGTATAATTAGATTTAGTTTATAAATGAACTAAATGAAGTTGTTTCCAATGAATTAAAATTAACACCTAAACGAATACTTTGAGATTTGAATCTCAGTTCTCATATATTGTAGCCTAGTTGAGAGGAATAAATTAATATTTTTTTCACTTTAATATTAACCTTTAGTATTAAGGAGAGACTAGAATTTAGCATGACAAAGACTTGAATCTAAACCTTTATCTAATTCTCATCTCATTTTTATTATCTTAGTTAACATCAAATAGACACTAAATTCAGTTTTTATGGACAAATATCAACAAGACTTCTATGATTATCTTTTCTTAAAATATAAAAAAATAAACATAAAATATATAATATGCACTCATATGATAAATACTCCCTTTAATTTCAAATATATGAACTGAGTTTTTTTCCTTTTAAATATAAGTCTTCAATTTTCAAGGTCTCGTATACATTTATTATTTTTCCTCAGCCTACCCCTATATTGCAACATTAATACGTATAACCAACAAAAAAATTTTAAAAAATTCAATATTTATTTTTCTAAAATACAAATTTAATTAATTTTTTAATTTATGTAAATTATTAATATAATTTTTTTCAGTAAAAGACTCAATACAGCAATAAATTTAATTTATTGATTATTTTTTAATTAAATGATAATAAAATTCTGCACTCAGATCTACACCCCATGTTGTTGTACTTACCACACGTGCAACACGCATGGCCCCTGGTTAGACGTGAACTCTTGGTTTTCCAACTTGCTTCCCTCCCACGTGCTTCTTCGTCTTCTCGGTTGTTTCTTCAGGAGTGACTCCCTAGGAACAGAGTAACTTATCATATTTCTCAAGAGATTTAATCAAATTATATAAAATATAATATTGATTAACTCTTAGTTAATCAAGTCCCAAAATAAAACTTCGCTGTCTTACATCCCCCATTGTTATTTTCAATATTTGAACGAGGCATAAAGCAAAGCAGCTAAATCGAGGTCAACAATGGTTAGTTTATTTGGAATCCGTACCAGCTTATCCTGTGTAAGGATTTCGTTGGCAAATAGCTGCCAAATATTTTTTTGTTATAAGCGTCTTTTTATACCATGGTATTAAGGTTTAACTTTAATGCACCTATCAAGGCCTTGTGAGATAAAAATATCTTATTCTTCTTCTTTCAAAATCCTCGTCATAAACTCCTTATGTGGTCTGATTGCTAGTTACTTAACTGTGGTTATGCTAATTGTTTTGATTTATGCTTCTCGATGAGTTTGGAAGATGAGGAATTTGGTCTAAAATTACAACCAAGGTTGCTGATAGTTTTAATTATTATTAATATGAATCATAGGTTTTAGCTGAGCAAGTACTCACACCAAAATTTTCACTGGTCAATCAGGGCTTTAATTTTCTCTCGAGACAAGGATGCCGTTAGGGGAATGACATTAATTTGAGATTTAATAAGCATCTCAACTGTTAATTTCGCATCAGGCTTTTGTTGAAGTTGAGCAATTTATTTTTTGTGGCTTTAATTTGATATGATTTACTATTGGACTAGAAATTTAGAGGATAAAAAGCTTCTGTTCTACATTTTAGTTGTGCCTAGCTAAGCTGTGCTTGGTTGAGTTTCCTTCATGAGCACATATCTCTTATAAAAAAATGTTTCTCAGTATTATAACTAATTAGCTTTTTGGGTTGAACTAAGGAGTTGGTTAGTGAGTTTAATTTGTGGCCCTTTATGATTGGGTTTTATAGCTTCCCACGAGAATCCCAGTTTTTCTTTTGTTTTGTTTGTGGCTCCCATGGATGGATATTTGGCTGATGCTTATCTTTTTTGTTGTCATGAAGGAGAACCAGAACTCTCAGCGTTGGAAGACTACTGTTTTGCAGTTTCTGTTAATTTGTTGTTTAATATTGGTCGTCTTGGAAGAGTGTTATTTTCCAGTTTCTATTCTTTTTTTCTTTTCTGTTGTTTCATTTGTCCTGGAACTTTGAGGTGTATTATATTGGTTTAGTTTTATAATATAATGTACCTTCATATAAAGAAAATTCAAATCAAGTCAACTAGTTAAATCAGTAAATCAATCCCTTATTCAAACCGACCAAGAGTTTTGGTCGAATTGTATTTTTTTTTCCTTATTATTAAGCCTGAAATCATGTTGTTTGAGTTTTGAAAAATAGAAGTCCATCATATTTGTTTTTTAGTAATTTTATTTTACTGAACTATGTATGATATATGAATAAATATTTTATTTATTAATGAATTAATGAATTTTGCTATTTAAATATTACCTTGAATATTTTTCTATATTTTAATTATGATTGCGTTGATTTCAGTTTAATCACAGTTAAATCATTAATCCTTGAACTACTGTTTCAACTGCCTTATTAGTTGATCTGGTTTAATTCATTACTACTTTGCTTTTTACACAATGATAGAGACATTTTTTGCGATAAATGTTATTAGATTCATAAAAATGCATTGAGGTGAAATGAAAGAAGAGATATAAACAGAATTTTAGTTGTATTACTTTATAAGACCAACAAGTCATAAATGGAATTATTTTATAACTCACATAGTGTTTTTATTTATTATTTATTTTAAATAAAAAGGCGGCAAACAATGGAAAGCATATTTGTGTGGGGACTATGGCATCTACACAATAATTGAAACTTCGATTTCTTTGCCTCCTGCTTTTGCTCTCTCATCCTCTATTCGTATTTTCAAGTACAGAAATTAGGAACCGACACCCATAATTCATGCACCACTTTTATTAAATTTATCTTTTTTAATTAATTAAAAAAATAACTAATAAATAAAGTGGAAGAAGAAGAAGATAAATTGATATGTTAATTTTGATTTTCCAGGGCCAGAGATCACACAGAGGTTTTGCCTTGTCGCGAAGTTGACCAAAAGAGCAGACACAAATCTGAATCAGACACACAAATCTATAAGGCTGGAAGGATTATTTTGGATCTCGCAAGCTCACTCACACTCGTGCACTCACTTTCTTGCGTCTATATAATATAATATTGTACGCATCTCCTGTATATGCTTGAAACTTCTGAGAAACTCACAATGAAGCATGGAAGAAAAACCATGGTCTTCTTGTCAGAATCTTCCAAGCAAATACTAATTCCGGTCTTTAATATAAGAACCAATTAAATAATTTGAATAGATTAAAAAAATTAATTAAGTTAGTTATTTGTAATAAATAGGTATTGTTTTCCTTAAAATACCTTTACTAATTATGTGTATTAGTTAGAACTATTATTTCATAAAATTTTTAATATGTGCAACTACCATAAGGATTATCTGAAAAAAAAAGTAGATAAATATAAGAGACAAAATAGATTGAAAGTTTATATTTATGATCAAATTAAATATTAAACTAGTTTTTATATTAAAAACCGGAGGCAGTACATGTGAATGCAAATAATATCATCACTATAAGGAATCCATAAATGCAAGATTCATAAAAAAAATTTAATTTAGTTAGTTATAAAATATGCGTATTAGTTTTTCTAAGGTATTAATTTTAATTATTGGATTACCATTTTCTTAATTAAAAATCCGTTTAATATGTACAATTATAGGGAGAGTTTATGAAATTACATTGGTTGCCATGGCAGTAGTCCACTTGTAAGCAACACCAATTACACTCCTATTTTCCGCTTTAAAAGTGCTTATTGCACGATATAAAAAAAAATTAATATAATGCCGACGCCAAGTTTCTCCATAATAGTATTACCTGCCACGTGTAAATTTAGCCCTAAACTCAAGCCTGACATAGATATGTTTATGCACGAGTACGTTTAGTTATATAAAATACAAAAATTAACATAATAATTTATTTATAAAAATGTGACCAGTTACATTTTTTTTAACATCAATTTTGTCTTAATCATTTTATGTAGGCGAGAGTGCGTAATTATTGTAAAAAGACTGCTGCAAAGACTT